ACATACATACATACATACATACATACATACATATATACATACATACAGATATTACACACACACACATATATATACATACATACATACATACAAACATATATACATACGTACAGATATTACACACACACACACATACACACACACACACACACACACACACACACACACACACACACACATATATATATATATATATATATCAGGTTCAGGCAGGGGTGTGACGGCAACAACACAACCACAAATCACCACGCCAGCCCACATGAATACGATTTCCTTGCACGTTTCCTGTATAGTGAGAAAGAGCTGATAGATTTACACAGTGAATAGACACATTGAATACGCTTCATCTGCCGTTACCTCACACATGAATACGTTTCACCTACCGTTTTCCTGTACATTGAGGAATGGCTTATGAGGTTTGGGCGGGGGTGTGGCAGGTGTCTGTGGTTTCTCGGGCACTTCGATGTCCTGGAGTCGCAAATCGAATAGCTCGGCCTCAGCCGTCCAGAACAGCCGCATGCTCTGTTGCGATTTGTTTTTAGTTTTAGGAATGGAGTGACAAGAATTAATGATTGGCGGACCACAAAATCGGGAATGGAAGGGCATGAAGAAATAGGACTGCAGTGACGACAGATAAGACCACGGCAGGTGATATGGAACGGGGCAGGAATAACTGAATATGGGTCAAATGACACCGCCAAAGTTGTGCTCGAATTATTGGTTGAACAATGTCGATAGATAAATAAATAAATAAAACTGCAATTAAACAACTAATGCAAAAAAAAAGGGTACTACTGGCGAGGCGGCAGGTGTGGCCAATAGAATACGTTGCCGCAAACGGATGTTAGCACACGCGGCCGTTCTCACTCAATACATCCGCATAGACCAGTGAGCTATCTAAACCCTAAGCCATGAGCCCAAAACCCTAAACCCTGGTGAAGGCTTGTCAGCCAATCCTCTCAAACCACCCACCCCTAAAAAACTCACATATCAATACACCCCATCTGCTGCTTATCATCACACCCTGGCTAACAACACAGTACAAAAGAAACATCTCCACGCAATATTAAACCCTAAACACTAAAGCCCTGGAATACTAAAACACAACCACTTGGACATAACCGCACACCGTTTATTCGCACAATTTCGCACCACACCTCACCGTAACTATCCACGATATATCACACTCTTGACCTCTTGACCATTCCATAGTGCCCATACTCACTTAATACCACCCAACATAATCCTATTGGCTACATGCCAAACCACATACCCTCTTGGGAACTAGTTTATTAGTACAATGTATAACCACATGGGCTAATGCCCTCACTACATTTTCTCCAGGACTTCGTATACTATTACATAATTTAACAATATAGGCTATTTCCCACACCACATTTTTCCAGGAATTCGTATACTATAAAACACAATATAACAATATTAGCGAATTTCCAACGACACCCTCTTAGGAACTAGTAACCTAGCACATGGTATAACCATATAGGCTATTTATTTCCCGCACCACATACCCGTTTGGCCATACGTTTCGCCTTCGCAATGTCTCCCGCGGCCTCTGCTTTGGCGGCCAGTTGCAGCGCCTCTTCGGCTGCGTTTTTGTTTGCTGCGTTTTGGCCTGTATGAATTTGATCAGCCACGGTAGTTTCGATGAGATGGATTTTATCAACAGCATGGTGTAATAGCTTCGTTTATATATATGATATGTACTGGTGATATATATAATGGCATTAACAGCTTCGATCATGCATATATGATATGTACTGGTGATAAATATAATGGCATTAATAGCTTCGATCATATATATATATATGATATGTACTGATGATATATAATGGTATTGCCTATCACATTCACGTTTACATAGGAAGGAGCGGAATAGTCAACTGCACGGCAGTTTTGATAATATCTTTTTAATCTAAAGCATGGTATAATATTCCGTTCATATATTAAATGTAGTGTATAAGTTCATTAACGTTTGGACAGGATATCACGGAATAGCCAGATATATGGTAGTTTCGATCAAATATGTTTAATCTAAAGCAAAGTGTAATAGTTCCGATCATATATTAAATACATTATATCGCCAAGTACAATACCGTTGAGATAGGATATCACGGCATAGCCAACCACATGGTAGCTTCCTTCAGATTTTACGTCTAATACGTTTGTCCAGATTTTACGTCTAATACGTTTGTCAACCACAATAAGTGGAGATAGGCTCCTACGTTTAACTGAATAGTCAGCCAAATAGTGGTTTGGAAACATATTGTCTATATCAAGGTCGTTGAACTGAACACATATTGTGCGATTTTAAGTGAAGATCTTTATACAGGGTGGAACTATATGCCCAAACTGCGAAATCAAACTTTTATTTTGCAGCGGTTTGGCCTTTATATTTATAGATTTTATGAACTTCTGGTTTGGTTCGTTTCGGTTGGATATCAGCTAACATGGGTATCGCTCATCACAAAATGATTGAATACACTACCACAGGTCACAGAATAGTTGTACACATAACAGGTGTGTCAGTAAGTGCAGCTGTGGCAGAGATACGTCTACGCTACAGAATACGTCGACTTCTGCTATACATACCTTTTGGTGTCTCAAGCTCATCCTGAGATCCAACTGGACTGCGAGGCGGCGGCTTTCGGGTGGGAATTGGCGAGCTGGGTTTGCCTGTGAGAAGATACATATCCAATATATAAATAGAAATAGATATAGAAATAGAAATAGAAATCGATATAGATATGAAATAGAAATACAGATACATACATAGATATACAACCACACGCAAATACACACACACACACACACACATCTATATATATATATATATATATATGTGAGTCTATAAATATATATACATATATATAAACGCACACACACACACACACACACACACACACAC